TCTCCCAAATCTCCCAATTTCTAGGAAATTATGAGTGCTGATATTTTATTACTCCACTTATTTACTAAATGAAAGTATTATTATAATTTAACGGATATGATTATATCATTGTACCGATAAATTAATTTATTTACGTAACTTAATATCACAAAAATATTAATCTTATAAACAAATGTTCAACAAAGATCGAAGAACGCGATTATCATCACAAATTCCGCGCAAACAATTCAATTCAAGTCGAGATGTTTTTGCACCGAGAGCCTCAACTAAGAAAAATACGGTTCGATCTTCAGCAGTTTAAATAATCGACCAACTTCTTCGTAACTCCGGGGACCGTTATTTTTCACTCCGACACAATAGATTCCCGGTAATTTCCGAAAATTGATTTTTATCTGACCCAGTTCTCGATCTCCGTCGCGGAACGATAAAAACTCGAGAACTTTTTCGGCGACAAATAACTGGAAAACAAGGAATTCCGTCCGGAATTCCTTTTTTCTTTAATGTATTTATTTAATGGCGCATCTGCTTAATAGCAATTAACGATCATGCGTGGGTTCAAAATTATTGGGTTGCACGTAGATGTAATATGTACAGTAGTTTTTACATTAAATTATCTGTACTAAACACTACGGCTTCAACATTATCATCTTAATCCAGATTCCTTAAGTTACTATACAATTTCGCTAAACAATTTGCTTTCTTCTAAATATGACTTATCTTCTACTAGAATGTGTTTAATTATAAGCTCAATGTGTTCCGTCCTTCCACGGAATTTCGGGCCGCATCGGCTCAGCTTTCGACGAATTCCCTTTTCCTTCCACCCCCCCAAAAGAAGAAAAAACATTTATTGACGGGAAAACTCCGACCCAACGAGGCGAGTTGCCCGTCCGTCAACGAGCGACGTGCCATTGACAAAAGGTAGCGTCCGTTAGGTTTCTAAGGTCGTAGATGCCATAACTTTCCTTTCGGCAATGAAACCATTTACACCCTTTAAACAAGGTACGCCTTCATAGGCAGCATTTTTTATGACGGGCTAGTACGCATCGCTTCGGTCGCCGTCCAGGGTTTTTGCTACCTGCGGTACTGCGTGCTACGTCATCTCCGCATCCCCTTCCATCGCGTCAATGTCCACTCAATTTCCAGTATTCGATCCACGAACCAGTATATAAGCTCAAACCCGAGGCAAGGGCCAGTCTTCACTCGATAGTCAGCATCACCTTAGTCTTCAAGCAGTCGTCAGTTTCAGTTCATAACATCAATCGTGATCATTCTTGTTTAGTGACACATTCTGAACCAAATATTTGTCCCTTTCTAATCAAACGGACAAAAATATTGCTCCACTCCGTCGCGCAGCGGACTCGGCTTTACAACCCGAAGGATAATTAATATCGCGGAGTGGCAATATCGGGTGTGAATACGACGCACCCAAACACAATGTCTTCAATAATTATAAGCTCAAGCTCTTAATCTAGATTCCTTAAGTTACTACACAATTTCGCTGAACAATTTGCTTTCTTCTAAATATGACTTATCTTCTACTAGAATGTGTTTAATTATAAGCTCTATTTGTTCCGTCCTTCCACGGAATTTCGGGCCGCATCGGCTCAGCTTTCGACGAATTCCCTTTTCCTTCCACCCCCCCAAAAGAAGAAAAAACATTTATTGACGGGAAAACTCCGACTCAACGAGGCGAGTTGCCCGTCCGTCAACGAGCGACGTGCCATTGACAAAAGGTAGCGTCCGTTAGGTTTCTAAGGTCGTAGATGCCATAACTTTCCTTTCGGCAATGAAACCATTTACACCCTTTAAACAAGGTACGCCTTCATAGGCAGCATTTTTTATGACGGGCTAGTACGCATCGCTTCGGTCGCCGTCCAGGGTTTTTGCTACCTGCGGTACTGCGTGCTACGTCATCTCCGCATCCCCTTCCATCGCATCAATGTCCACTCAATTTCCAGTATTCGATCCACGAACCAGTATATAAGCTCAAACCCGAGGCAAGGGCCAGTCTTCACTCGATAGTCAGCATCACCTTAGTCTTCAAGCAGTCGTCAGTTTCAGTTCATAACATCAATCGTGATCATTCTTGTTTAGTGACACATTCTGAACCAAATATTTGTCCCTTTCTAATCAAACGGACAAAAATATTGCTCCACTCCGTCGCGCAGCGGACTCGGCTTTACAACCCGAAGGATAATTAATATCGCGGAGTGGCAATATCGGGTGTGAATACGACGCACCCAAACACAATGTCTTCAATAATTATAAGCTCAAGCTCTTAATCTAGATTCCTTAAGTTACTACACAATTTCGCTGAACAATTTGCTTTCTTCTAAATATGACTTATCTTCTACTAGAATGTGTTTAATATGAATTATTACCCACTAGAATGTGGGTAATAATAATAAATTTGTTTAATTAATGTGTTTAATTAGAAGCTCACTGTAACAGTTAATACGAAGAGGTTTATCTGTTCAGAGAATATGCACTGGTGGATTATTTTAGTGTGCCCAGTCCTTGGTCGAGATAGCACAATTTGTATTTCCTTCTTGTTAAATATACTGCGGAGTTGGTACAGAATATACGGGGCGTCCCAAAATTATGTTATTTCCAGGAAACGAGGGGTTTCTGAGGTCAACTGAAGTCACTTTTTCCTTAGCGAAAACGCACTGCTGACGCGAGCCAACTAGCGGTCGAAGCCCACTTCTGCTGATTGGCTCGGCCGCCTCGCGCCAGCTGATCTCGCCTCTCATTGGTCAGGTTGGTTTATCGTTAATAACTCGTAAACAAAGCCGCGGATTGCATTTTCGCTAAGGAAAAAGTTACTTCAAATCACCTCAGGAACCCTTTATTTCCCGATTACGAGTGACTTTAGGGACACCCTGTATAACTCGTTTCGCAAATCACTGACTAGAAAGTTGGAATTACAGGGATTTCTTATTTGCTTGATTATGTCGGTAGGAATCCGGAATTTGTTCGTTCCACTCGAAAGATTAAGAGGTCGAACAGCTCGTTAAGAACAAGATTATCACGTCGTACTGACGGATCACCGGGGGACTCGGAATCACCACTCGAATTTCGAGACCTCGCCGTTGGCACCTTATCGCTTTATCGCTGAAAGTATCTCGATTTCCTTGAGAGGGGATTGTAGGGCAAGGATCGGTCATTTATTAAGCCTTTTAACCGTGGAACGGGGACCGGGATCCGCTCATTTTGTCGCCTTTTGTGCTCGCTTCCACATGTCCCGGATCGATCTCGGGAGAAGAAGAACGTTTGAAAAGCACCGTCGTCGTCGACGTCCGCGCCTTTACGATCCCCTCGTTCGCTTTTACGTGCCCGAAATACGAAAGGACAGGCGTAGAAAAGTGTACTGATTTTCGCGAGACCGGCCCGAATTTCGGAGGCGAGGAATCGGCATCGTTCGCCGATCGGACCGCCTTTCCTTTCCGCTCCGAGCACGGGAGAATCCGCGCGCACGCCGAACAAAACGCGGAAACGTGACATGGTCCCCCCCCCCCCCCCCCCCCCCC